TATTGTTTCGGACAAAAATAGAAATCTTAAACCATTTAAAAGCACTGAAAGAAATACAGGTAGCTGCTTGACTTGCAGGGCAGCACTTGTGTCTTAGCCTGGTTTAGATTATTTGGCACTTTTTAAACTGCAAAAGTGGGCCCTTTATTCCTCTTACTTACAAGTCAGAGTCTCATTACGGATAATCTGGAAGTTGGGAGCACTTGCTTTATAATCTTAGTTCTGCCACTGGCTCCTCTGTGGCCCTGGAAGTTTCCTGTTTCCTGTACCCACCTCCCCATCTTTACAATGGATCTGATATTTTCACTCCAGGTGGCTGGCAGGGATCGGATAGTGTTGAGTATGTGAATTAAAAACACCGAATAATGTTAATAGAAATCATCAGATGGAGGAAACCTGGCAGATTTAAGGCGGGTGGGGTTTAGATCCTTTTCCTCCCCCAAAATAATTACAGTTTTGTGGTCGAGCAGGGTGTGCCACGTGCTCGCCAGTTCATTTGTTGTGCTGGAGGGCCGGCACCTGTTTTCCACTGGAGAATATCAGTCGCAGATGTGGTTACCTTCGTTGCATGGAGTAATTCCAGGCGTAGGGGCAGAGCGTTGCTGGCCTGCCCCCCGAAGCTTAGCTTCTCCCAGTGGAAAGCTCAGCGAGAGCTCGTGTCCCTTGCTGGTGGCACTGGGATGCACCCGTCACCTCCGGTGGCAGGGGAGTAGGAGATCGTGATCTGTTCCACTTCTGATGTGAGGGTGCTCGAGATTAGCTGTGTGTGCATGGACAGAAAACGCAGCTCTAAATCAATGAGGCAAAACATGTTCTGTTGCATTTGCATACATCTGAAGTGGCTATAAAAAGCAATTGGTGTTTCTGCTTTTTTACCGCATTGATTTGAAGGCTGAATTTGGTTCGTAGTGTTTCTCTTTTTGTGTTTATCAAGAAAGGTTTGTGCTTTTCTCTGATAAGCTTCACTTAAAAAAAGACTGTTTCTGTTTGGGATACGCAGAAAATGAACCACTTTGTACGGTCATACTCCGTTGAACATGTTTTTTCTTGTCAGCGCACAGTGACTAAGACCTGACCTAGAATACGTAGTGTTTCTGTATGGTGACAAGGTGATATTTCCCTTTCTAACCTTCCCTGTTTTTCATTGTAGGCTTGATCCCTATACAGATCCCTATTATGACTATGAAATAGAACGGTTCTGGCGTGGTGGGCAGTATGAGAATTTCAGGGTTCAGTATACAGACCCAGATCCATACCGTAACTACAGAGTAAGTAAGGTAATACCCCTTTCCGTGCTTTTCCTTTCAACTTTCTTCCAGGTACTTCTGGTGCTTGTCACGTTTCCAGTGCAGTGGTCGAAAGGGGACTTTTCACATATGTTCAAGATGCTTAATCTTACGCAGAGTTAAATCTTGACTTAATTACGGCACAGAACACGCTCTAGGTGCAGGGATGGGAGGATATTCTGTTCCGGCGTGATGAAGGCAAAAGCGTGTCTGAGATGGGAAGATGGTTCCACTTCATGTGCACCGGCTGCTCCTCTGCGTACCAGGCAGCCGTGCGGCGCTTATGGCCACGTCTGCAGCCATTCTTGGAAATGTCAGAGAGGGAGGGAGTTTCCAGGAAATAACCTGACTGAGGAACGGTTTGCTTGTTAGTTATTGGGACAGATGGAAAGGATTAGATTTGGACAGGCGTGCTTTATGTACAGACAGAGGCTCCGGCACGACTGTCCACCACTGGTGGCGTTGCACATTAGTTGCTTTGAATCAGCCAAGGAAAGCACCCAGCCAGTTGCTCAAATCCCATATGCAGTTGGTTGGCGTTGCGCTGCTGTAAGGTGTAGAGCTCAATGAAAATAAGGCTATGAACCCTTCCCTCCGCATCCTTTTGCCCTCATGCAAACTGCTGTGCCTCGAGAGTAGTGGCAAAAATAATAAATCCTGCTCAGTGGGGAGCTTTTCACTGGTATTCGTCACGTCCTTTAAAAAGTGGCTTTCCTTGTGCTGTAAGACCTTGGTGTTCTACAGAAGCAGTGCACAAACAGGAGCCTGTCCTCACTACTGTTGCCCATGATGCATCATCAAGGATTTTCGTGGTGCTTGCTTGTAAAGTTAATCAGCGTGTTACAAACATGATTAGCAATGACAGTACATACTTGTAAACATCAATACATTTATTTAATAAGCATACTAAGCCAAATTAATCTTTGACTGTTGCCTTTGAAAATAACAACTGTGATGAATATGATGTGGTGTTTTGTTCCTCTCCACTTTCTGCCTGCTCAGCAAACAGTGGTGGCCAGCAAGCTTCAGATTATTTATCTCAATACTTGGCTCTAACATGGGAGGGCGTATGTGATTGCTTGCAGTCCAAGACTTTGAAACCTTGCTGCCCACTTTGTTAGGAGGTGTTACCACAGCGTCACAATGATTTCTCTTTTCTTTTCAAAGGAAAGAGAGCGAGAACGGGAAAGTGAAAGAGAGAACAGACAACGAGAAAGGGAACGCGAGAGGGAGCGAGAGCGGGAGCGAGAGCGGCGCCAGCGGGAGCGAGAACGGGAAAGGGAACGGGAGCGGGACAAGGAGCGCCAGCGGCGGAAAGAAGAGTGGGAACGTGAGAGAGAGCGAGTGAAGAGAGATGAAAAAGACAGGCAGCACAGGGACCGGGACAGGGACCGAGACCGGGACAGGGACAGGGAACGTGAAAAGGAGAAAGAAAAACCAAAGCCCCGGTCCCCGCTGCTACCAAGGTAAGTGTCTGCTGGAATTCAGACCTGATACTTGAGTTGACGTTGTTTTAGCTGTGGGTCACGAACCAGGCTCACGCTGATCGCAGTGGAGAAGATGCCTGTTGTGTGCGAGTCTTGAGTACAGCGGTAGTTTCAAGAGGAAGGCAATGCTTTAAATGAGCCTTGGTGGCCACTAAGTGGAGCTAAAACATCGGTAAGAACCGAGTGTGCATAACCTGACTCTGAAAGGAGGAGAGCGTCTGTCCTGTAGGTGTGGACGTTCGGCTCGTCCCCGTACATCTTGGGTGGTTGGCTGAGTCCCCAGTGCTAAGAGTCCCGCAGATGGTGGCGATTCCCTTTGAGGCCTTGACAAGAACCAGGGCTGGTTTGGGAATTTGTGGATAGCTAAAGAATCTGCAGATTTATTAAGTAAAACTCCTAAAAGAGGCTAGAAAAGGTAAAGGCATTGTATACCTTGAAATGAGTCTCTGCTAGCTGTTACGGTGGAATTGCAGTGTGGGGTCAGGCTTTTTGCCCCTGCCCATTTTTTTTTTTTTTTTTTCTGGAAATCCTGCTTCTGACCTGTGTGAAAGAGAAAATTGAACCAGACAGACTAAAAGTCTAGGAATTTCAAAAGTGAAATCTGTTTTGTTTCTCTGTCAATTATTTAAGTACTGTGGCTTACCAGCGTACTGTGTATTAGGCATATTTGTAAAGCACTGTATAAATATCACAGCTGAATATAGGACTTGTCTTCTGGGAATTTCTAATGTCACGATGTCTTTCAGTTCAGAATCGGAGACAAGTATCAAATTTCCTGCTAAAGGACATCTCCAGGAAAGCTGATTAGCAGTGTCAGTGTCTTGGAAACTAACGGCAGATGGAGTGTCCGACAGCGTGTCGAGGAACATGTGGACACACGGGCGTGCGTATGTGCTTGTTGGGGCAAAGAGGGCTGCAGGGAAGCTGTTTCCCAAGACATATTGGAGCTCCTCCTGCCTGATGTCTGTGGTGTTTCTCGAGCGCTAGAGGAAGGCGTGAAACATCGTGAGTGTGAGGAAGAGTGTGTTTAAACAAAAAACAAGGCTAAGAAGGCCTGGAACGAGGTGCCGCGTGGAATTGTGTGGTTTCAGGTGGGAGCAGGGTTTAGTCTTGAATCTGACCCAGAGTTTTTGTTTGCATTACTAGAAGGAAAGCTGATTTTTGATCATCACCCTTTTTTCCAAGAGGAAGTCGCAGTTTCAGAACAGTTTGAAGGTGTCTCGTGAGCGCTTTGATGCAGTAGCAATGTCAGAGTGGTTATAGGAATACGTTTAATTCTATGCTACGTTTAATTACAATCTTCACTTGCAACCATAATTTGTGCACCTTAATTACCACATTTGCTGTGGGTTTGCGCTCCTGTTGGGTTAGTGATGGAAGAGATCTTGCTTTCCAGAACTGTGTGATGATGATGACGATGACGATGATGAAAGTGACATCAGCTGATTGGCAGCTCAGGTTGTTAGTCATTAACAGTCACCATGACCAGGTTCGCTGCACGCAAGGCTGAGGCTGCTGGTTGCTTCTTCCCTTGGCCCTCGTGTTGGGTTATGGGGCAGGGCTTTGTGGAGAGCTTTCGCTGTTAGTGCTGCCCAAGGTTTGCTGGGTAGGAGCGATGGCCGTGTTTGCCAGTCTTAGATCCATCTCGCTCCGCGTACCCATCTGTGTGAGCCGAGAGATGGGATTTACAGCGTCCGAGACGTTATATGCTTTGTGGATACAGGTTCCCTGCTTCCCTCCTGCCCGTTCTCTGACAAAAGCACCGCTTAGGGGAGCTGTGGATGCCTCTTGGATCTATAAAACAGGCTTCTTAAGGCAAGTCTTGGTAAATTAGCAATAGTCCTTGATACGCCTCTTTGCTTTTTTTGTTTTAAGTCTGCAATTCTTTCTAGAATTGGATCGTAGAGGATCTGCTGTTGGAAGTGTCCTCTGCCTTGTCCTGTAATGCAAGCGCAGATGACTGTAGGGCCAGGCAGAGAGCTGGGAGAGAAAGACAGCAAGCAGGGCTTGCTCTTGGTTTCATTTGTGCCGGGCTTTAAAAGCTGGTAGCAAGGAGTGTTTGTAATTTTTGTGTGGGATAGGGAGCTAGTACCGAGCGGAAAGCTTTAAAATCTCAAAAAAAAAAAAAAAAAATTGTAGTTCAGGACCTACACACAGTATCTCCTCTTAGAGGAGAGTGGAATTAATGGGAGCACTTAACCAGTAAACCCCAAAAGCCCGATGTTGTTGAAGGCAGCTCTCCAAGTACTCTTAACAGGACTTTAGTTCCCGCTGTTGAAACCCATGTCAACACGAACGCTCTTACTACAGCATTTACAGGTGTATGAATGTTTGCAGAGAAAATAAACCTGCAGAAATAAGTTTTGAAAAAGCTTTTTAACCAAGTGAAAGCATAATTCAACTCCTTTTCCCTTGGAGAAGACATCCCTCATCCAGCAGTTTGTGTTTCCCTGCACTGCATTCCCCAGAAGCCTCCGTCACGCTTACCGGTGTGACTTGGCTGTGGGCAGTGCCGGTTTGTCCCTTGCCAGGCTCCGAACTTCCTCGTGGCAGTGCTGCAGTTCAAGCTGTCTCACCTTTTCTCCAAATACCTTCCTGCCGTGCTGCAGAGGGTCAGGTTTGGCACCTTGGGATTAAACCACTCCCGAGTTTGTTTAATGTGTAAAATGCTTGTGATTGTTTCGCGCTTCCTGGGCAGCAGGATGCACGATAGTGGCGTAGCGCTCACCTGCAGGTCTATTTATAGACTCTGGGCTTTCCCTAATCACTAGATGCCAGCTTTTGGCAAGTCCGGCCTTTCCAGGCGTCATGCGGCGATGGGGGCTGGCGTGCGCCGGGCTGCAGGCAGCTGCCCATTAACATTCCTGCACCAAAGGCAGCGCCGCTTCCAGCTGGAGCCCACGCGGCCCTGCTCTTCCCTTCCTAATGAGCTGGGGAGATTGGAAAACTGCTCCACAGGGGTTGTGCAACCAGCAGGGAGCTTTGCCAAAGGCAGAGCCGAGGGTGTCTGTAATTACAGGTAGATGCCGGTCTGTCCATCAGCGTGTGAGTTCCCTCAAGTAGAGGCTGGAGGAAGGAACAGACTGTGACGTACAGAACGTCGACTTGAAAGGGATGAAAGAAAACTCGAAAAGCAAATAGCCAGGAACCTGAAAACAAATACCCTTTCCACTATATTGAAAGCAGGAAGGTTTAATCTGATCTCTAAACAACAGCAGAGCAGTTAAGGCTACTAACACAGAGAAGCCAGAGGACTTCCTGGCATCACTGCTTGCTACAGATGAGGAGGGTTAGAATTTAACAACAAAGATTGTAAACCCTAATGGACTCAGTGGCAAATGTTTCTCCTTGAACCTTTTAAAAGAAGAGACTGCAGCGTTTGGGCTTCAAGTAGGATTGTCACATGTGGATTGGACTTCTTTGGAAGGAGTGTGCAATTGCTTTATGCTTTTTTTTTTTTTTTTTCCTTCCCCTCCAAGCTTAAGATGAGCACTCCAAGAAGTTTCTAATCTGAGATTGCAATGCTAGTAAAATTGTTCCTCCCCCTCCTCCTCCTCTCTCCTCAGGCTTCGAACACTTAAACAAGCCAGGACACTTTATGATCAATTAGAGGGATAACTTGGCTGTCTGTCCTTGTGCTCCCTATCTCCAGAATGAGTTCTGATGCCCCAGGCTGTGACTGATTTTGCTGAGTGCAAAATTTCTGCTTTACATCTCTATCTTGCCAGTGTAGCTCGCTGTTGTGCAAATCATTCCAGGGATAAAGAAGTTGCATGAAATACTTTATTTGAAGAGATTTAGAGTAGTGCAAGATGTTCTTACCTGGGCTGCTGGTCTTCAGCTGCGAGTGAAGGCCCTGTGTACAGAAATAATAATTTGCTTTAATCCTTCTATTGTTGCGTAGGTCTTTATCCCGCCGTCATCCGAGCGAATCTGATTGTTTCAGGAGCACGTTAAGCAACGCAGTTAGTGTCGTGGGACCTGCTAGCGGTTGTATTTCCTAAAGCACTGAGGGAAATTGAGGAATTGGACCCAGTGGCGAGGGCAGCAGCCTCGGTGTCGTTGCCTTGTTGGCTGGGGTAGCACTAGGTGGTTGCCAACCAAGCGAGGAGGAGGAAGAAGCAGCAGCGATCCCGTGCTGAAAGTCTGTGAGGTGGGCATTGGTTTCTTTTCCACCTGGGTTTCCTCTGCAGGGGATGCTGTGGGCCCTGGTGAGAAGCAGCGTGGCAAAATGAACTTCCAGCTGAGAAATTTGTCATCTCCAGTTTTTGAGGAAGTTTGTCCTGAAGTCTGACCTAAAAGCTATTTCTATGCAGACAAGTTTGGTCGGGGCCCACAATACAGACCCCAAATTCTGTGGAACACCGGTGCCAAGTAGGGTGAGGAGGAGGCGGCTGTTGTCCTCGGAGGTGTTCCAGGGTCCGGACGGGAGGTGACAGCAGCTCCGAAGCTGCCAGGAAGGAGCAGTGTCCTGGTGAACCATCCTGTGATTATCGCACACACAACAGTTTTTTTTTGGAAGGAAGTTTTCTTCAGCTGGGCTAGAGATTATTGATGGAGTGCACTTAACGCAGCCATTAAAAAAATAAAAATAACACCTGCAAGTAGGGACGCTGTAAAATTTAAAGCAATGTCAGAAAGGGCAGCTGTTCTGTAGCAAATCATAAATCCTTCGTAAAACCCTTCCAGCAAGGAGTGCTGTGCTTCTTTCCAGCTCCTGTTGAGGTGGCAGTAGCCTTCAATTGTGAGACGCTATATAATGCTGCAGACCCTGGGACAAAAGGTTACACGTTCTCTTGGCAGAGCTCACCCTCGCGTTATTTTCTCAGGCTAGTTCAAGTTGCCTTTGTCATAGGTCGTTGTTAATCTCCGGGGTGAGCACGTTAATGAACAGGATAACCTGGAGTCTAAAATCAATGAATGCAGGTTACCCAGGGCTTACAAGTTAGAAAGTGTTGGAATGAGGTTGATTAGATAAA